ACTAACCGTGATGTTGACTCAGATCGCAGTGATCTGCTCGGCTTGTATTCCATTATAAGATCTTTGATATACGATGGAGCCAACCCGTGTAAGGATTGGTAGACATATGTCAAGATTTTATATTGTGGACGAAAAGAAACAGGTAGCCAATGAAGATCAGCTAGGATAGGTGTAATATGCTCCCGTTTCGATGATCTTGTAACTAAGCGAGCTGCCGTGTTCTGGACTTTTTGAATCCGGTCTAGTAAGGCCTTTGACACTCCATATAGAAGGCAGTTCCCATAGTCCAGCCTGGCAGTGATAACGGCATTCACCATGGTCTTGCAGGCTTCTTTTGTTAGAAAGCGCCGTATTCGTCCAATATTGCTTATTTGAAAATAGCATGACTTGACGACCGAGGATACCTGTTTTTCCATAGTAAGGTGTTGATCGAAAAATGCACCTAGATTTTTTACGCATGGCACGCTTTCAATGATGTTATCACCAACTTTTAGTTGTAATGTTGGCAGATACTTCTGGTGTTGCTTTGTGGAGAAGATTATTAGCTCGGTCTTTTCTTGGTTTAGTTTGAGTAGGTTTGATGTCATCCATGAACCAATTTCACTTAGACACGCTTCAAGTCGAGAAAAGTAATTGTTCCAATTTTCCAGTGGTCTTATGATCATGTAGATTTGTGTATCATCTGCATAGCAGTGATATATCATTCCATGGCGGTGGCATATGATTCCAATGGGTTTAAATTTAACAACCCATTTTGTTACCAAGGCATAGAGTTCATTATTTCATTTAAATATCCAATAATCACCAGCTTTAAATTTTTACGACTAATACAATAAAATGTTTTTATTTAAGACAAGTTTATGATTTCAACAACCTACATTGATCATGTTTCAAATATATTAACCGATAACAGTGTGAGCAAAGATTACACAGATTTTTTTTTTATTACAGACAAACAAATTTTTCTCTGAATACTTTTTTGACATTTAACTTTACAATATGAATTTACGTTCCTATTTTCCAAATTAAACATTTTTCTCTTCGTAGAAAAGGATATCAGCAACCACACGAATTTCAAAATCTTCAATAATTATTAGAGGAAACTCAATTTTAATTATGCGTTTTGTTTTGAAGCATTGAGTTTCATAAAAGCGTTCCAGTATAGCATTGTATTTTTGTTTTGTCAAATGTGATTACCTTCTCATGAATGAATCAGAATGAATAATGTTTAACATAGTATTTCTCAAGAAACTGAATATTTAATTTTAGAGTCGTTGTCTTAAGTAAAAAACAACCACAATAGTGTATTGATATTTTCGTAAAAATGCTTATCGTTACATTATTTGCTGATGTCAATTCACTCAACATGCATCATTTAATTTACTATATATACTCTTTAAAAAAGGAAACGCATAGCAGGAACAATGCCCTGAAAATGTATTATAGTTTTGTCATACCATTTATTTTTATTTGGATATGATGTATTCGAGTAAAATGCGTAATTTGTTAATGCAATTGTTAACTTTACAGCTATTCCACAAGTCTCACAGACAAAAAGACCTGATTTTGCAAAATTTCCCCCAAAATTTTAATCTCAATTTTCATTTGTTGAATTCTGATGCAATTCCTTCAGATACAAAGGGGCTATCAAAAGCCGGGGTTCTCGATTTTTTGAATCTGGTTTCTTTTTCTGGAAAATGACGCATTCTAAAAATGCTGCATCTGAATGTTGCATATCACAAAAAGGATACTGGGAGACTGGAAGCATGGGGACGACATGCGACATCAGCAGCATAGCATCACTTCAAAGGATTTCGGTAAATTGCATGAATGTAATGCAATCACGTCATGTAAAGCATTTGCTATCCCTGAACTGCACAGATCATCTAACAAGACCGTTTTCAGTTGAGTACGAATTATTGAAAGAGGATTATTCATGCCATTGTTCTGACCCCACAACACCCCAAATATCGACTTCAAAGATCTTAGATCAATAGAGTATGACCACAGTATCACTGCTGAATATTTTGGTTTAGGTACCAGGCCTGAATGTTTATCTCAAGGCCTCTTATACGTTTAAGAGTGATGATGCTTTGTAATGAATGTTAGACTGATAACTGCCTCCAGGACGTAAAAAAAGTTAGTGGTGGTAGGGCCAAAGTTTGCGTCGTGCTCTTCGCGTGTTTTGCTGTAGACAAGGATATCATTAACAAGTGTTTTAACTCCATCTAGTCCCTCGTAAATCTCATCTATTTTGTGCTGAAAATCGTCTGGAGTCTTGGGCAAATGGCATTCGAAGAGAAGAGAACCCAACAAAAGGCCTGTTGAAAATGACGACTTTTCAGACAACTTTATTGCCCTATATCCGGAATATGTGTCAAGTTTTGAAAAGTGTCAAGCACCGCTGAAGCTGGGAATTATGTCTTCCAACGTTCTCATTGGGTAATGAGCCCGCAATATAGCTGAATTCAAATCGCAGGTGTCTAAACAAACTCTTTATTTTCCAGAGTTCGGTTTCCCCGTCAAGGCTAGTGAATTTATCCACCTTGTAGGTTCTGTGACCCTTGTAATAACTCCGCATTTCTCCATAAGCTCTATCTCTTCACGTAGCTTGTCGTGATGTGCGAACGAAATTCAACGCGGGGTTGATTATAGGTATTGCATTCTCGTCAATGCGTATTTCGCATTCTCCAGGAATTAGTACGATACCCTCAAAAACATCTCTAAATTCTGCAAGAACTGATCGAGTGTCAAGATTTTCACCTGTAGCGCGCGCTGGTAGAATTGACTGACATGATTCGACGGCCATAACAAGCTGAATCAATTTCAAATCTAACTCTAACAAAATTTCAAACAAAGATTAGATATAGAATCAGTTTTAACAATGAAAATAATCTGTGTTAATAACAGCGTCAATATGTTCGCATTAAAGACTTTGTTCACCCTATTTTTCTAACCTTGCGCAGGTAGGTTAAGATTACAACCAAATATTCTACTTGCCTATATGCTATGACGTCATAATAAGCTTTATGACGTTAGATTTAGAGATAGCAATTTCTTAAAATCGATATCTAAGATTGATTTGAGGCCGTAAAAATGAACCAAAATATCCAGAGGAATAATATCAACGGAATTTTGTCGTTCCTCTGCCTCTGTAGTTATCACAGGGGTAACATACCAAACCCGTGACGTCATAACTGTTGATAATGCAGTAGCAGAGTGAAAGTGAAAAGTAACGAAAATTGATGTAAACAAACACAAGAAATCGGAGTTTTAAAGCATTTAGAATGAATATCATGTGTGATTCCTGTGGGAATAAAGCGTATAAATAAGGTATGGTAATATAAATCTGCAATTTCCTCGTAAAATTAAAGCAGGGAGGGTGTTTACTTGTCGATCAGCCTTTCCTCTGTCGTTCGTTGATGCATTTTTTTTCGATGTTATGAACAAAATGTAAAAATTTTGGGAAGGTTTCGTCCGAAATTGTTGAATAATTATTTCTATAAGACGACAGTAGGATTCTAGCAGCACCTTTCATGGTACAGAGATGTTTTAACATAACTATTAATATACATTGGAACTAATTATCCCCGGGGTAGTGTTAAACTTTTCACTTTTTCATTAAGACATATTTTCTAATTATAGACGTCACGTGGTGAAGTGCCTCCTGTAGTATAAGTTCCATTGAAGTCTATATAAAACATAATTATCGTAAAAGTTTTATCCTTGACTTTTCCGATTTATTTGTGTTGCATAATTAAAAAAAAAAGTGTTAATTCGCCGATTTCTGATCCGTGTGCTGCCTTAACAAACCCGCGTGACCCTCCATAGTCAGATAAGTGTTTTGTTGCTTTGCGCAGACTGCCAAGAGTACCAATTGCAATGCCCTTAAACTGACGGACTGGTAAGCTTTGAATATAAGTACATTTATTAGAGTGAACACTTACAAGTTACAAAGTGTTCTTGTAAAACCAATATATGTATTTCGTATACAATTGAAAATAGATAAAAATAGAAAAAAAAACCATAAGATCAAATAATGAAACAGTTAGATAAAATAAGGACACTTTGTAATGCGGAATGGCTACTTATGTTAAGATTTCCTTTTCTGCTTGAATACTATTCGTTATCTCCATATGTTTCTTTTATCTGTATATCTTTGTCTATTTTTTTGTCAAATAGGCAAACGAGTGAACTTTGTCTGGAAGAGTTTTTACATCTATCCGTGTACATTAATCATGAGACATAATTCACATTTTGCTCCTTCTTGTTTTTATAATATTAAGGCTATTTACTAGATATATGAAAAATTAAAGATAAAAAACAAAGTTGTCACGTTTATCAATAAAGTTATGTTTTCAGTTTACCAAACATGAATTTTTTCTTCATACATACAGGGAAAAAACACGTATCTGACTCGTCCGTGTCTTGTTTCCAGTGAAGTGGGATACATGTATACATGTATCAAATCATATAGAAAAATATTTATCAATTGTTGATAGCAAGTCATTGATATTCTAAATTTTGAAATGAAGACCACAGGTTTTGAAGTTTTCAAATAATTTCTACTTCATATAAATACAACGACAGTTATGTTTAATATGACAAAAAAAAGGACATGATTAATACAGCTGTACACGAAAAATTGCAAAAATACCTGGAAGACCTTGCCTCCAAATAATATTTTGGTACATGTATCGACTTTCCTTACAAATATGGTTGATTTTAAAGAAAATTTTATTTGAGATACATGCAGTAATGCATTCATGTCATGTTTTACAAATATGTTTTTCTACTCGTTCTCACCGCGAGATGTTATATATATATATCGTGTATACAAAAAAATATTTTTAGGCACACCAACAGACAAATCACAAATATTTTCATTTAACTTTACGATTATGACGTATGCATAGTAGGCGTGCCTAGGAGGCGTGTTGTATACGCATCTATCTCATTGCATTTATAAAAGAAAGTAAAACAAAGTTTAGTTATTTTCTTCCTTCCTTGCCAAAATCTCAGAAGCAACCTAACTTATTGTCACCAATCTGTTAGATTCTAAATCAGTAAAGACTTAGAAAACTAGAGGTAAGATTTTTGTCTTTTAAAGAATAATATATATATATATATATATATATATATATATATATATATATATATATATATATATAGCACATTTTTACAACAACTCTTAAACTAATATAACTGCCCTAAGTGAAGAAATATTAATATAGAAAGCACAAAGAAATTCAATCCTCTGTTAAAACTAATGTCCAAATAACTGTATCTCACTTCTATTCTCAATGACCGTGTAGTGTAGGACAGCGCCGCGAGAATTCCATCGGCATCGAAAGCAAGTTTTTTGACTTGCCTAGATAGCCGAGCGGTCTAGCGCGCTGTTCCTGCACTGCTAGGAGACAGATTCCGAAGGTCGAGAGTTCAACCCCGGGCTGGGGCGGAAGTGGGTATCCATGTAAAAGTGAATTTCTTTGTGCTTTCTATATTAATATTTCTTCACTTAGGGCAGTTATATTAGTTTAAGAGTTGTTGTAAAAATGTGCTTTATAAATAATAATTAATTTCATTACAACATGTATTGGTAACAATCCTCTGTTAAAACTAATGTCCAAATAACTGTATCTCACTTCTATTCTCAATGACCGTGTAGTGTAGGACAGCGCCGCGAGAATTCCATCGGCATCGAAAGCAAGTTTTTTGACTTGCCTAGATAGCCGAGCGGTCTAGCGCGCTGTTCCTGCACTGCTAGGAGACAGATTCCGAAGGTCGAGAGTTCAACCCCGGGCTGGGGCGGAAGTGGGTATCCATGTAAAAGTGAATTTCTTTGTGCTTTCTATATTAATATTTCTTCACTTAGGGCAGTTATATTAGTTTAAGAGTTGTTGTAAAAATGTGCTTTATAAATAATAATTAATTTCATTACAACATGTATTGGTAACAATCCTCTGTTAAAACTAATGTCCAAATAACTGTATCTCACTTCTATTCTCAATGACCGTGTAGTGTAGGACAGCGCCGCGAGAATTCCATCGGCATCGAAAGCAAGTTTTTTGACTTGCCTAGATAGCCGAGCGGTCTAGCGCGCTGTTCCTGCACTGCTAGGAGACAGATTCCGAAGGTCGAGAGTTCAACCCCGGGCTGGGGCGGAAGTGGGTATCCATGTAAAAGTGAATTTCTTTGTGCTTTCTATATATATATATATATATATATATATATATATATATATATATATATATATATATATTTTACATATTCGACTGACTAAAACCAAATCATTGTATATGTTATATTTGTTTAATTTCAATCAGTGCAAAAATGCTATATAAGGACATGATTTGAATGTTCAATTATTTAACAACCCATCTTGTTACTAAGGCATATAGTTCATGGATTTATTTGAATATCCAATAATCAACAGCTTTAAATTCTTACTACAAAAACAATAAAACGTTTTTATTAAAGACAAGATTATGATTTCAACAACCTACATTAATCATGTATCAAATATATCAACCGAGTACAGTGAAAGCAAAGATTACACAGAATTGTTTTTATTAAAAGACAAAAAAATAATATTTTCTCTGAATACTTTTTTGACATGAAACTTTATAATCTGCATTTTCGTTCCTATTTTCCAAAAAAGACATATTTTTCGTCCGAGAAAAAGCTTTTGTGAACCACATGGATTTTAAAATCTTCTATAATTATAAGAGGAAAATGAACTTTAATTATGCGTTTTGTTTTGAAGCATTGGGTTTCATAAAAGCGTTCCAGTATAGCATGGCATTTTTATGATTTATCAGAATGAATAACGTTTAACGTAGTTTTCTTTGGAAATAGTATATTTATTTTCAGAGTCCTTGTCTGAAATAAAAAAAAACAAACAAAAAAAAAACAAATACAACAGCGAATTGATATTTTCGTTAAAAATGCTTATCGTTACATTATTTACCAATTTACTGCAACGTGCATCATTTAATATATAGATATAGTATACCGGTAAAACCATGATCTTGGAGTTTTAGATAAATGGTCTGGTAAAAGGCTTTTAAAATTCAATAAAGCAAAAATAAAGGTTGTATTTTTTCTTTAAAACTTAGAGTTGTTTTACCTAACTTGTATTTCCCAGGCAATGCACTAGAGCTTGTATCGGCGCATCGCCATTTGGGTATTTTGTTGTCACAAAATCTTACCTGGTCTGAGTATATAGATAGTATTATTAATAATGCTTATAGGAAATTAGAAAATACCTTTCTCATTTGTATACAACATTTGTATGACCTACACTTGAATTTGCTTAAATTGTTTGGGGTGGTTGCTCTTTATATGATATTCAAACATTTGAAAAAGTACAATTTATACTAAAGAAAACAAAAACTGTAAGTCAGTTTATATCTATCACAAAAACCAATCTAAATGTTGGGTCTTTGGATCAACAACTGACAGACATTATAGATAACTGTTAAAACACTTATTTGTTATTTAATACATATGCAACAATCCCCTTTAATCCTGGGGATGAGAAATGAAATATTTACTATATTTTTATAGAGATAGTCCAAAGACATTGTATGCTGTTTTCCCCAAGATGATATATTAATCGTCTCTCCTAAAACTATTGATTAAATATGCGTACGAACTATACCAATCAATTTTTAATTACATTCAATTTGTCGTCTACGTTTAAATAATGTACAAGATCCCCAGTCAAAATGAAATTATTTTAATATTCTAAAATTATGCCGTTTAGACACATATGAGTAAATGAGAAGGTATCAAAGTACTTGACATAAATGCGCGTAAACACATCATGCCAAAAGCCGTTTCTAGTTCTTTACGGTCAAGCGGAGGTTCCATATCTCAGATAGCAGCGATTGTGCTTTGGTCAGGTTTTATACCCTGTGTAGACAATACGTGTCCAAGTATGGCACTTCAGTAAGGCCAATAGCAAGTTTGTCAGAGTTGAGCTTCCCCTAACAAAAAAACTAAAGTTAACTATAGTAAACTGTAGTTAACTATATTAAATCAAAGTGTAAAAGTTTTATAAAGTGTCAACATTTTCGCCTAAGTTTTCCAAAAGTTTAAAGAGAAAAAGTTTTCAATAAAGTTTTTAAAAGAGTCAAAGTTTTAAAAAGTATCAAAGTTTTCAATAATTTTTTTAAAAGTGTCCAAGTTTTCGATAAAGTTTTTGAAAGTGTAAAAGTTTACGCCAAAGTTTTTCAAAGTGTCAAAGTATTCGCCAAAGTTTTTCACAGTGTCCAAGTTTTCGCCCAAGTTTTTCAAAGTGTCAAAGCTTTGCGCCAAAATTTTTAAAAGTGTCAAAGTATTCGCCAAAATTTTTCAATGTGTGAAAGTTTTCGCCAAAGTTTTTCAAAGTGTCAAAGCTTTGCGCCAAAATTTTTCAAAGTGTCAAAGTTTTCACCAAAGTTTTTCAAAGTGTCAAAGTTTTCGCCCAAGTTTTTCAAAGTGTCAAAGTTTTCGCCAAAGTTTTTCAAAGTGTTCGCCCATGTTTTTCAAAGTGTCAAAGTTTTAGCAAAAGTTTTTCAAAGTGTCAAAGCTTTGCGCCAAAATTTTTAAAAGTGTCAAAGTATTCGCCAAAATTTTTCAATGTGTGAAAGTTTTCGCCAAAGTTTTTCAAAGTGTCAAAGCTTTGCGCCAAAATTTTTCAAAGTGTCAAAGTTTTCACCAAAGTTTTTCAAAGTGTCAAAGTTTTCGCCCAAGTTTTTCAAAGTGTCAAAGTTTTCGCCAAAGTTTTTCAAAGTGTTCGCCCATGTTTTTCAAAGTGTCAAAGTTTTCGCAAAAGTTTTTCAAAGTGTCAAAGCTATCACTATATTCATTCAAAGTTTTCAAAGTGTCAAAGTTATAACTATAGTTAACTATAGTATTTTTTTGTTAGGGTAACAGCGTTCTCGCGCGATCTCATAAGAACTGCGCCCAAGTTTGCGTCGTGCTCTTCGCGTGTTTTGCCGTAGACAAAGAAATCATCAACAAGTGTTGTAAATCCATCTAGTCCCTCGTAAATCTCATCTATTTTGCGCTGAATCTCATCTTGAGTCTTGGTCAAATGGCATTCGAAGAGAATGGAACCCACAGAAAAGCCTATTAAAGGCAGTCAAAAATGACGACTTTTCAGACAACCTTATTGCCCAATATCCGAAACGTGTGTCAAGTTTTGAAAAGTGTCAAACACCGCTGAAGCTGAGAATTATGTCTTCCAACGTTCTCATTGGGTAATGAGGCCGCAATACAGCTGAATTCAAATCGCAGGTGTCTAAACAACTCTTTACTATCCGGAGCTCGGTTCGGTCAAGGCTAATAAATTGACCCACCTTGTAGGTTCTGTGACCCTTGTAATAACACCACATTTCTCCATAAGCTCTATCTCTTCACGTAGCTTGTCGTGGAGTGCGAACGAAAGTCACCGCGGAGGATTGACTACAGGTATTACACTCTCTTCAATGCGTATTTCGCATTTGTCAGGAAATAGTTTGAACCCTAAAAAACATTTTTAAATTCTACAAAAATTAAACAAGTGTCAAGATGTTCACCTGTAGCGCGCGCTGGTAGACTTAACTGACTTGAATCGACGGCCATAACAAGCTGAATCAATTTCAAATCTAAACAAGATTTCAAACCAAGAATAGGTACAGATTCGGTTGTAACAATGAAAAAATCTGCGTTAATGACAGTGTCACCATGTGCGCATAAAAGACTTTGCTCACCCAACTTTTCTGACCTTGAACCTCCATAGTGAGATAAATGTTTTGATGCTTTGCGCAGACTGCGAAGAGTACCAGTGCCCTTAATCTGACGAACCGTTAAGATGTGAACATAAATACATTTATCAGAGTGAATACTTACTAGTTTTGTAAAGTGTACTTGGGAATTCCTTATACAATTGAAAATAAAAAAAAGTTAGATAAAATAAGGACCCTTTGTTTTGCAGAATGGCGACTTATGTTAAGATTTCCTTTTCTGTTTGAATACTGTTCGTTATCTCCATATGTTTCATTTATCTGTATATACATCATTGTCTATTTCTGTGTCCAATAGACAAACAAATACACTTT